TTTGTGGAAAGGATTTTTTTGCAAATGGCATTGAAATAGACTGATGAGTGCAACAAATGTAATCCAGATTTGATAATCAAGAGTGGATAAATGACCATTTTCAACTATGATTATAACTGCATTGAATTTTGCAAATATTTAAAATCAATGAATGATATATTAATGCTTACACAATTTTTCTTAAAATATTTGGAATCCTGTCTTTTTTTAATGAAAATCTGGTAACCCTAGCCACGCTATACAATCAGAGATGGACATAAATTGTAAAGAGGTAGAAATGTTTTATTTTCTTGCCCTCAAAAATCAGTAAGGGTCAAGGTTGGAAAAAACATTTTATAAACATGTTTTCATATGCTTTAAACAGTTTATTGTCATTTCACATGTTTCAAACGTTTTAACCTTCTTTAAAATTCTTTTTGTCATGGCGTGTTGTTTCAAACAATGTTTGAAAGATCTGTTTTAAAACATTGTCTTTTGAACATACCAACTCTGGTAAAACGGTGGAGTATAGGGACATGCAACTTTTTGTTAATTAAGTATTTTTCTTTGTATTTCTGATGCAATTCAATATGTATCAATAAAAGTGTAAACTTTGCGTGGTAGTACATTGAAAATATTTGCAAAAAAATAAATGAAAATTGATAAAAGCAGTCATTTTGTACACATCACATAATCACTATTGACATAATCGGCTAGTTTTTAGGAAAAAAAATTGGAAGTACTAAAACAAAAATACTGGTATGCAAAAGTAGAAAAGGTGAGGAAAAAGCGAATATAAAGATAGGAGACGAAAGATTAGAAGAAGTGGATGATTTTAGGTATCCACGAAGTCAGATAAGTCAGGACGGAAGAAGTAGCAGGGATATATGCAGAGGATAGCGCACGGTCGAGTCGCTTTCAATAAAAACAAGTCACTTTTACGCTTGCGAACGATTAATTTAGAAATTCAAAGAAGATTGTTAAAGGAGTATATTTGGAGCGCGGCGTTGTACGGTCGCGAAACATAGACGGTAGGCGCGTCGGAAAAGAAAAGGTTAGAAGCATTCGAAATGTGGTGTTACAGGCGAATGATGAGGATACCATGGATAAGGTTAGAAATTAAGAGGTATTGGAAAGAATAGTAGAACAGAGGATTCTATGGAAGTCAATCAGAAATAGGCGAGATAAGTTGGTAGGACACCTTCTCAGGCATGAAGGTCTAGTGAGAGACGTATTAGAGGCAGAAACAGGAGTTAAGAAGAGTAGAGCCAGGCCTAGATTAAATTACCGTTCGCAAATAGTTAAGGATGTCGGATGTTCTACTTTTACGAAAATGCAAAGATGAGTTCATGGTAGCAAGGAGTGGAGGTGTGTGTCCAACCAGTTTTAGGACTGACGACGACCTTATGAAGATGAAGTACTAAAACTAATGTACTATTAGTTCTCTATTTGCCGTGATTTTGGTTTTTATTTCATCTCGTCTCAGTCAGATGATATGCGGAATTAATGGCTTTTTGTATTTCGGTTGCCTGTGTTAGGAAATCGCCGACATAAGCTAGTTTTAAATTTATTTACGTTACACGTAATAAATCTACATTGTTGTAATTGTTTATCATCTCTGAGCTATCAAGTGGGTATAAGTGCACTGAGCATATTTTTAAACAACTGCTCATTAAATTAAAGTATCTTGATATCATATAATGTATGTATAAGATTAAACACTACATTAAAATAATGTAGTAAATTATAGGTACCTATTTGAACTATTAAGGGCCCCTTAAACCTTTCCAAAAAGTTGTACCTATTACTGGTATTTAAGCTTTTTAAGACGGTAAATAATAATTTAGTTTCAACAGCTTATAAAAACAAGGACCAAAGAACAAAAAGCAAACAAATCAGTTTAGTACAATTTGACAATCACTACCGTCATCAAGTTTTTTTTTATAATAGACCAGTAGAAAAGAAGTATTCTACTCGTTGATCATTTTAGTTTACGTAACGGCACTATTAGATGAGTTACCTCTCTACAACTCATCATTTCAAAGAACTTTGTATGGCTAGCGGAACAACTTTCGAAGCAAATTACGAGAAACAAGTGCGGGATTACATCATATAAAATAAGAGATTCAGTACACTTATCACTTAAGCAGAAATTTACACGCAACTTAATGAAAAATAATATGCATAATTTAATGGAACGGTGGTTGTCAGGAACACATTAAAATATTGAGAATTACAAAAATTTACATCGTTAAACGATACATATATGGTCGATATATTTATAAAAACAACAGGAATTAACAGTGTAAGTGACAGATAAACCGACGAAGTTCCAGTAACTTGGATAAGACAAAAAGAGGAACCAAAAATTGTTACTTAGCATAAACACCATAAATTTTCACTGATGCAGTGCTCAATATTACGGATAACAGGTAAAAAAGCGGTTATGTTGGGATTATAAGGTTACGGTAGTAAAAGACAACAAGATCGAAGTGTTCGTTCTTTTGTAGACAGGAATGTAAAAAGGAAAAAGAGACGTTAGGGCCGGATTAAGGTACGCTGGCTATGTATCTTTTTAAAAATACACGTTTCTTCTGTACGGTGTGGACAGGTGCAGATCCACTTTGTCCATGATTTGGAAGTAAAGACAAACGGGGTAGTCAAGTTTTGTTCGTATTAAATAGTGTGTACAAAGTTTTCATATATGATGAGGGTAGGTACTACGTATCATAAATCGGTTTATTGAGTTAGGATTTCCTTAATCAATATCCACTACCATCGATAAATATGGAGGTCGACATGTTGGCAAAATATTACCAGTCGGTGAACGAAACCTAAGCTTTAGTTTCGTTTCATTTTTTCATTGTTTAGTTACTTTTTACAATACTGAAGCTAGTCAAAAATTTTAGAAATTGAAAATCATAAATGTACTCATCTAGCGATTTTAATTTAAAATTTCCATGACAATTCTCCGTCGTAGCTATTATTTTAAGAACTCCTTGCCTTAAAAGGACTATTTTTACGAAGAACCCAAAGTAATACTTTCTTTAATTTTTTTTGTGGACTACCTGTATCCAAAAATATTGCCGAATATGTGGACCAAAAATGTGATTGGGAGACTTTCTAGAACTGTTCCAGATTTTAAAGAAACATCTTCGAAAATTTTGCGATTGTCTGGTGTGGTGTGTCATCAGCATCGTATGCGGAACGCTGTTTGCAATATAAACCCGCACTTATGAATTAACGGGTTTTTAGAACCATACAGTGGAGCGTATTAGATGACTTAATAATACATGTATCCACATACATTCTTCAACGACAGCGCATTAGTCGAGTAACGTTAAGTTGTTGACTCTGCAGTCAAGACATGCGTCGCGATATTTTTTGTTTTCTTCAGAAATCATCCACGTAGGTATGTTAATTGGGCATTCATGTACGTGCATTTATCAATGATTCAATGACGTTATGTTTGTAACTAACAGAATCATCATCATAAGATCGTCAGTCCTAAGCGTGGTTGGTCATGCACCCCCACTCCTTCCTATCTTGAGTTAATCTTCGCATTTCTCTAAAACAAGCGCCGCGCTCCAAACATACACCTTGAACAATCTTTTTCAAATTTCTACATCAATTGTTCGCGAGCATAGAAGTGACTTCTTTTTATTGAAGGCGACTCGACCCTGTGCTACCTTTTGCTTTATATCCCTACTACTCCTTCCGTCCTGACTTATCTGACTTCCTAGATATCTAAAATCAGCCACTTCTAATCTTTCGTCTCATATCTTTATATTCGCTCTTTTCCTATTTTTTATTCTCCCTTGCGTATCAGTATTTTTGTTTTACTTTTATTTATTTTCATACAATACAGCTTCCATTTTATTTAAAGTTATCTCTAACTCCTCCTTGCTAGATGCTAATACTGCTATATCATCTACAAATCTTAGCATACTAATCTTTTGCTCCTCTATATTTATATCTACAGTTGTACTGTCTTTAATGATGTTGATCGCGTCTTCGATGTATAGATTAAAAAGTAGCGATGGCAGTGTGCAGCCTTATCTGACTCCTTTCCTAATATTTACTTCTCTACCTTTCTGCTCCAGCTCTATTACTGCCTGTCTCTCTTTATACAAACTATCACTCTTCCACTTCTGTAACTCATCCCTACATTTTTAAGTATATTCAACATCTTGTCCCATTTAACATTGTTAAATACTTTTTATAAATCTACTAATCTCTCTAATCTACTCCTAAGTATCTAACCGAATGTATGTTATTAAATATGCGCGTTGATGAATGCACATTCATGTATTAATCCCATTTGTATGCGCTTATTAACACAAATATGGTATGCACGTATGTAATGATTGTATTTATATTTTTGACCCTACATATTCATATTCGAATAGTGCATATTCAAATCAAATCATGTATATCACGTATGTTCTTGCTTGATGGACTCGACACTGCGTTCCACAGGTCGCCTCTTAACAGAGATAAAGACGTGTATACAATAGAATGTACCGGAATTGCGATAAAGAATTCATGTTGACTTGTTTGCCAACTAAAATTCGACACGTGCTTCAATAACGAGGTTATCTTCTTCAGGGGGGAGATTTGTGTGTGTATTTGAATGTATGTAGTGCGGGGCCGATAAGGAAGTTGTTGAACATCACGTAAACGAGTGATTTTATATTTTTATTTGTAAAATGATTACGTTTATCGTTGGTTTAAGAATGTGAGGAAATTCTTGGGAATGCTGTACTAATAAATTGATAAAATAGATTAAAAATCTAATCTGTATAATTAATATATAAGTATTTGTTATCTAATCAGGTATCCTGTGCAAACTGTACGTTGACATCACAATTAATAATAGATAATATGTACTTTTAATTTAATTGAGAGTTCAAAATTGGGAGAAAATTGTCCAGTGGGAATGCTTGATTTCTTTTACACATTATCTACATTATTGTACTTCTTAACGTTCAAGATAATAATGAGTATATATACANAACAAATCCAAAAAATGCTTAAACAAGGCATCATTCGTCCCTCTGTTTCTCCTTATTGCAGTCCTCTGTGGATAGTTCCAAAAAAACGAGATGCATCTGATCAAAAGAAATGGAGAGTAGTCGTTGACTACCGCAAGTTGAATAATGTCACAGTGGGTGACTCATTTCCTCTCCCTCTTATCGAAGATATTTTAGATCAATTGGGTTGCTCCAAATACTTCACTATATTAGATTTAGCCAGTGGATTCCACCAAATTCCGATGAAACCCGATGACATACCTAAAACAGCCTTTTCCACTCATTCTGGCCACTATGAATTTACCAGGATGCCTTTCGGCTTAAAAAACTCCCCGTCTACTTTCCAGCGTTTAATGAATAACGTCTTATCAGGGTTACAGGGTCTTCAATGTTTCGTCTACCTTGACGATATCGTTATTTACGCAAGTTCTATCCAAGAACACACGAATAAACTTAAATCTGTATTTTCTCGACTTCGCGCGAATAATTTACAATTGCAGCCTGATAAATGTGAGTTCATGCGTCACGAGGTTGTTTATTTAGGACACGTTATTAGTGATAAAGGAGTTTCACCTAATCCTGAAAAGATCGACGCGATTTCTACCTATCCACCTCCGAAAAATCCAAAGCAGATTAAACAATTTCTTGGTTTGATAGGATACTATAGGAGATTCATTAAGGACTTCTCAAAAATTGGTAAACCACTTACATCACTATTAAAAAAGGATGTACCATTTAACTGGTCAACAGAATGTCAAAAATCTTTCGACTCATTTAAAGAAATTTTAACGTCTGAACCTTTACTTCAATTTCCTAATTTCAAAAATCCCTTCATTCTAACAACTGACGCTTCAAACTATGCCATTGGTGCAGTATTGTCTCAAGGTGACGTAGGCCGCGATTTACCCATTGCCTACGCATCTCGCACTCTTAATAAAGCAGAAACGAACTACTCCACCACTGAGAAAGAACTTCTAGCAATAGTATGGTCAGTTCATCACTTCAGACCTTATCTTTATGGTCGAAAATTCATAATTCTAACAGATCATCGTCCACTCACATGGCTCTTTAATTGTAAAGATCCTTCGAGTCGTCTCATTCGTTGGAGATTAAAATTAGAGGAATACGACTACGAAATTCGATACAAACCTGGTAGAATAAATTCTAATGTCGACGCTCTCTCCAGAAATACTGTTCTCAGTCTTGAAGCTAATACAAATGTCACATATGACGAATTTATTAAATTCCATTACACAAATCAGGAAATGCCACGAATCGAAATAATCAAAGAAAACTTATTTCAAAAATTTCCAAATGCATTGATAATGTCAAAAGACTTAGACATGAGCAATCCAAATTTCGAAAACCTTATTGCAATTCATGATATTAGTTCTATTCCTTCAGACGACTTAAATCTTTATTCAACCCACCTTTTAGAAAATGCGAAAAAAGAAAAAACCTTTATTTTGATTTCCAAATTAAATTATTTTGACAATTTAACTTATAAAGATTTATTTTATTCACTTATCAATTTAAAAAAATCACTTGTAAAAAATCAAATAGAAACTATTCACCTTAAAAATCCAATAGAAACTAATCCTAATTTAAAACAAGACATGCTCAACGAAATGATTGATTTTATATTTTCAAAATCAAAAATTACAGTTGTTTTAGTAAATAAACCTAAGTTACTACCTCAAAATAAAGACGAAATTAGATCTATTCTCGAACATAACCATTCGTCTTCATTATCAGGTCACTCAGGGTTTATAAGAACTTATAAGAGAATAAAAGATAATTATAAATGGCCGAACATGAAGAAGGACATTAAAAACTATATCAAATCGTGTCAGTCTTGCCAAATAAATAAAACTAATCACAAACCTAATAAGGCACCCATGCAAATAACTACAACAAGCGAACGCCCTTTCCAACGTCTAGCAATCGATGTTGTAGGACCTCTAACCATGACAGAAAATGGTAATAAATTCATCCTAACCATGCAGGACGATCTAACTAAATATTCTTTTGCAAAGCCGATCCCAAACCACGAGGCTCTCACAATCGCTAATAATTTGCTTGAATTTTTAACAATATTTGGCATTCCTGAGAGTATATTATCTGATCAAGGTCAAGATTTCTGTTCCGAAATTTTAAAACAACTGAATAAACTTTTCAAAATTAAACATATTTTCTGCAGCCCATATCATCCCCAAACGAATGGTGCTTTGGAACGCAGCCACCACACCTTAAAAGAATACTTGAAGCACTATATAAATCAATACCAAAATAATTGGGATGAATATGTACCCCTAGCTATGTTTACTTATAATACCCACACACATAAATCCACAAACTATACCCCTTATGAATTAATTTTTGGTCACAAAGCTTTTATTCCCAACTCACTCACTAGCACACCTGAATTCCGATACTCCTACGACGATTATTACTCGAACTTAAAATTAAAATTCAATAAATCCTATGAAATAGCGAGAGAATCGCTTATTAAATCAAAAGAAAAATCAAAAACTTATTATGATCGAAAGGTCAACAATCTAACCTTTAATGTCAATGATTTAGTTTACATACTAAACAAAAATGTTAAACCAGGACTAAGTAAAAAGCTGTCTCCAAATTATAAAGGTCCTTTTAAAATAGTAAAAGTAAATCCTAACAATACATATGAGATATTAATTAAAAATAATACGAAAGTTACCTATCATGCAAACTTACTGAAGCCTTTTGTTTCAGGTATAAACAATGAAAATTAAACCATTTATAACTTTAACACTCTTAACAATTTTCAAATTTCATTTCTCTCTTACTTCCTTCCCTTATTCTATTGAACCTATCCCTACTTATTCAGGAATATTCTATCAAAATCTGGGATTCGCAAAAATATCAAACGATTATTTCACGTTGCTTTCGTTCTCCAACATTTCATTATTTCATGCAAAGTTGCTATTTATTAAAAACATGTACGACAAAACCTTAATTCTTTGTTCAAAAACGTCAAAATTTAATTCGTGTAAGGATTCTATGAAAGTAATCGAAGTGCAAATCATTCAATTAGAAAATAAATTCCTTACTATTACCCAGCTTGTCAGTCATAAACCATTTCGAAATCGCCGTGGACTCTTCAATGGTGTATCGTACGCGTTTAAATGGCTTTTTGGTACCCCTAATTCTGCGGATGCGCAATTTTACAGCGATTCAATACATGCTCTAACTGAACAAAATCTCGACATTAAAATCTTAATGAAACAACAGATTAATGTTATATCTGACGCAATAAAAAATTACAATATTTCAGCTCAAAGTTTCAGAAGTAACGAAAACAAATTAAATGAAAACATTAATAAATTTAATCTTTTTAGTAAGTCAATAGCAAATAAAATTAATCAATTGGAATCTAATGAGATTATTGACGAAAACATTCAAATAATGTCGCAAGTCATTAATGATTTAAAAGAAGAATGTGAAGCAGAAATTTCTAGCATACTTTTCGCTAAACAAAACATAATTCACCCATCGGTCATTACTCCACTTAGTTTAAGAGAAGAATTATCTAAAATCAAATTTAATACAAATATAGAATTCCCGATATCACCCGTTGATATTGAAAATTTTTATAAATATTTCTCTATTTGTGATATTACTGTATCATATGACGGTCAAATCTTGATATATGCTATCAAAATTCCGATTGTTAACGAGAAAATATATACTTTATATAATCTTATACCACTTCCCGTTCGAAAAGACAATTCGTCTATTTATTCCTATATCGACCCTTCTTTTCCTTACCTTCTTCTAAGTACTTCTAAGACTGATTACTGTCGATTTAAGAACTTAACATCTTGTAAGAAACTTGCCGAGGAGGAGTACTTGTGTTCTCAAATGGTTGTTCATCTTACGTCACAAAGACCCGTATGCGAAACTCTGCTACGAGTTACCCCTTCGTCCACAGTTCCTGAAGATTGCCCCACAAAAGTTGTCAAAGCTCACCTGGAACTATGGCAACCTTTATCATCGAACTCCTGGCTCTTCATAATGACGGAACCAACGATGGCATCAATCAGTTGCGAACAAAATTCTAATATCATCGACGTGCAATTAAACAATATTGGTATTCTTAAATTAGAACAAAAATGTAAATGTTACACCTTTTCTACAGTTCTACACGCAACAGAGGTTCCAAGAAAAATACTCCAACGCATCGAATAAAATTAAAATTTCTTTTATTGTGCAAAGGTGCAAATACTTACACACCTAAACTAGTGTTTTGAATAGGACTGATATGTTATCTTGTTATCTGTAGCTCTCAACTAGGACATAATTTGATTTATTTTTGAGTTATTCGTTCAAAAGAAACTTTTCTTGAAAAATTTTTGAAAATTACTGTCAGTATTCGTACAAGAGAGTCATAGCAATGCTTTCCTTATGGAAAGCGGCTGGGACCAGGCAAATGTGTCCGCTAGAGAGAGAGAGAGGTTTTTCCGTAAAGGGAGATATATTGATTTATTATATTATAGGTACTTTATTTTCGGATGTTTAGCCGGTCACGTTTAATTACTAAGGTCACTCGGTGAACCGCGAGGCACAGGTTGTCCGATGAAATTCTCAAAAAATAATTTTGAAATGTTTGAAAGTAAATTGAAAGACTTGAAACTTTCTGATTACAATTGTGGTCAGTTGTTCGTTTTTGCGTACTACGCCACGATATTCTGCAAGTTTCTAGGCAAATAAAAACATTTAATATTTTTTGTCCAAGTAGGTGCTATCTTTATTTATGAAAGTTTCTCCAAATATTATTGTATTTGGTCTTGATATTGTAGGATGTTTAATTTGATTGGTAGCAATGTTTAACGACGATAAAATTAATCATAAACTACGGGTAAACCTACTTCCGTTACATAACGACATACCGGCATGTATGTATGTATCAGTACATGTTTACTATCAATAAATTTGTCAACTAAAGCAATAACGTGTCCCCAGGATCAGGTAACGTCGTAGTAGTTTGCTAGACTTGTTTTAAAAAAAAAATGTTTAGTTTAATTTATTAACACAAATACACGTGTACGTATGTTAAGTAGAAAAATTTGTCTGTTTGCCCGTGTTATGACGCACGAAAAATAAATAAATTATTACAGACTTTCGTGTAAACAAAACTCATTCCTGTCTATAACAGATGGTCACTTGGAAGTTTGAGTGTAGTATCTTTCATTAGAAACAAATATTAACAGCTTATGTTATTGGAAACACAGTAATTAAAACAATATACTGACAAGGAAAAACGTTTAGGGAACATACAAATTACACATTTCTTTGTCGGCATTTTTTTCTTTATGTCGTACGAACAAAAATGCATAATTTGGTGAATGTTTTACATTGCATTTATTGGACTTGAATTATTTTATTCTTTATATGAAAAAGTGGATGAATGTACATGTGTTCAAATTTTCCTACATTACGTCGTACCTTTTAAGAGGTGATGCCGCCCTGTGGTGATTACACACAATGGTAGATAGATCACCTGCTCGGCTAAGACCTGTCACTAGTGTGTAGTATACTACAGTTGAAAAAATATGTAGATGGGGAAACCACATTACAAGATGCACCATCAATCAAATGGCGGTTTGTGAAACTGAACTATAATAAAGCACTAAATCTGAAAATTCAACGTGAAAAACCAAGATGACACACATAGTTATATAATACAAAACGAAAAAGTAAAAATACCGAAAGACAGATCCAGTATTAACAAATAAACCTCAATTTATATTGTAATCATCTTGGGGTTGCCGCTCAATTCGAATGAATTTGTAAATATGAATGAATAGATGGAAAAATTATTTTCTGATTTGCAACGGAGATTGACTTGATTGATCGAGCCGCTGAAAGGATTAATGCTGAAAGAGGACTTATATATCCGTTTGCACACAATCTTCTTGTTTTTAGAAATTTGGTGTAGATTTTTTTTATAAAATTTTAAACCTTTATTAATAAAATAAAAGGTTGCAGTTAAGTGATATTTCGGCTGTATCCCAACAAATGCTACATACCCATATCCTTCATGTCGTCCAAAAAATATAAACCACTAATAATGCACTTAAAACTAGAGCTTTTCTTTAACCAAAATATATATATATTATTCACTTAACCCTGTTTTTACTCTACCATTTTTTCCCACCTAATTCCTTGCAGATATTCTACTCTGCCTTCCTATTCCTTAAAGTCCTCTTCCGGCAACTGAGTCCACCCCATCTTCCCTTCCAATCATTTAGCATTCCTCCCATGTCTCACCATTTTCACATCCTTCTAAACATGCTTTAAGCTTTCTTCCTCCCTTTCACCTATCTTTTCTTTTTATCTTCCAATATTTACATCCTTCACTCTCATTCCATGTCCTGAATTTTTTCGTTACTCTTATTTCCCACCCTCTTTCTAAATATCTTGGCATCCAATCCCCCTGCCAGTTCCTCCGTATTGTATCTTTTACACTCACCACATAGCAAGACCTCTCTGTTTTTTAAATCCTCCCCTCCTGTTATTTCTCTGCCTCTATATCCCTCACCAATCCTCCCACCTTTGCCAGTTCCCTATACCACCCTTTCACCTGTTCTTACTTTATTTTTAAATTCTTCAACGCTCCCTCCCTCGCTATCATATCTACTTTTTGCCCCTTATTTCCATCACCTTCCTCCATTATTCCTTTCTTATCCCCCTCTTCCAGCCTCCCCAACCTCTCATATTGTACTACCCTTTCTAAAGACTTCTATAAACTTATTTTCATGGAATAAAGGGAGTCCCATCGGTAGATCCAACTACAAGAAATAAATTAATGATCAATAACATACAAATCCATAGGGTTCTACGTGTATATATACGTTATTTTAATAAACGTCGTTACTTGGATAATATGGATTTACATTTAATAATGTTTAATGGGATCGTCATGCAGGTTGTAATTTTATGTTTACAAACAATACAAATTGGGATGCATTGTACGCAAACAATAGAAATAACTGTGAGTCGGAAGGCTGGTTAAGTTCCTTGAGATTCTTTTCGTCGAATTGTGTTTACATGAGCAAAGTCGGAACCACTGGACTTCCCAGAAACAATAAATGACTGAAAACGGGTGACCTTTCACGTACTTCGTATACAATACCTTAGGATTAGTATATTGCATAAATAAAAAACAAATATGCTCCATGCTATTTAAATACCTTCAGAGGTTGTTTTCGAAAATAAACTAGCAATAAAATGAAAAAAAAAAAACAATAAGGCACTAATATTAAAACGTTATTAATTAAAAGTTATGTTCACAATTTGATGTAATATTTTAGATTTTCAACTGTACCTGTTGCGTTTGCTATTTTTACCAATCGTATAATAATTGTAATTGCTGTATTGCAAGAATTTTTGTTAAATGTGCAAAAAGTTTACTACACAATTTTAGGTGCATAATTTACTACCTACATACATAGGTGTTCATTAAAGTGTTTATCTCAAGTGGACAAAAACGAGTCTCGTTTTCATTAACAAATCCTTGAAAAAATCCGATTGGTTGTAAGTGCATTTGTTTATTTATAACGTTTTCGCTGAAGTGTTGAATTAATCATGTTATTAATTTACGTTCTATTGTTTCTAGAGGATAACTTTTACGTCATTTTTGGCCCTTTATGTTCTAAGTAATCTTTGTTTACAGATTGCAAATATAATATTAATATAATGAAGCAGAATTGTAAATTTATTAGTAGTTTGATATCGTTGTTTCTTTTCGGTCAGAATACATTCTTTGATATGGTTGGTAAGTAATATATATATATATAATACATTTGAACATCTAATGCACTACAGATACAACGTCTATACAGTTGTTGACGGCGCGAGATTTTTATTTTCATTTTTTAATTAAGCTGATTGAATACGACGTTGCGTTGTCGCATTTCTCTCCAGCGTTGGAATTAGATTTATTAAACGTCGTTGCGTTGTCGCATTTCTCTCCAGGGTTGGAATTAGATTTGTCTGTACTTTTAACTATGTTTTTCTCAGAAACGATGAACTGTATATGTAGTACCCTATCACCTTCTGCAAAGTCACAACTTATTTCAGAAACACCCTGTAGTAGTATTAGTATTTTTAAATTTAAAAAAAACTGAACGTTAAATACAAAAAAAATAAATTTATCCAACAGTAGCTAACCAAAGTTTTAACAAAATTGGATACATACAGACATCTAGTCATACCCATAATATATCAAGTCGGACGCCCATATCGTACATATGAGTGCTAATTATCGTTGATAAATATAAAATAGCAAATGTTGGACTATTCTAAGCGTGACTATTACATTTCGTCCCGGAAACGAAAACCGAGCCAGAACAGCAATGTATTTTAGCCGGCATTATTATCCGCTTGTCCTTGGTTACGAAACACTTCCGCAATGGTTTGCCTCGTTATATGCAGGTAGAGTATTAGTACAAGTAGTAGGCCGTTTATTATTGTTATTATTGTTGTTTATGTGCTGGTTGCTTCGTTGTTGTGGCCAAGTAGTGGTACAAAACGAAGCGACGCGATGCGGCGTGGGTAGTGGTAGCGCGCAGTGCTGGCAGCACGCTTGATTTTCGTTTCGATACAGTTCGATAGCTTCCGGATCGGATCAGCGCTGTTCGCGTTATCGCACGGCCTGCTTTAAGTCTGCAATGTACGTACGCATACATACAAATATGTCATTGCAGTTGAACGTGGCCGATAACATTCGTCTTTTCTAAGAAAAATATACTCGTACTGGTTTATCTCTTATCTAATAACATACTTAACAATTGCCGGAGAGGGCTATTATTTTTATATTGTGCTTTTTGCTTTTTACTTTTTACTTTTTACCTAGTAACAAAATTTTTCTCTTTATGTATAGTGCTGATGTATTTATTTGTGTATATAGGTATATGTATACTGTCTGCATCGAATTGTAATGTAATTATAATACTTACACACACGTGTATATGTAGGTAGGAAATACTTTTTTTGTATTTTGCGGTGAAATCATACGAGCTGCTACACACATTACAGCGATATTAAAACAGTCCCTACGTAAGAACACAACGTATTAATAAGAAATATTTAAATTGCTTACAAATTAACAATCAAACTGCCTGATTTATGGAAGAGTATAACCGAGTGGGTACACAATATAAAAAATGCAGTTATATTTATTAAAAAATAATAAAATATTTTTGTTTCTTAGCTAGAAAATGTAGATAATAAACTACCTTTAAATTTTAAAAAACCATATAAAAGTGAAAAAAGGATGTTACAAAAATATATGTAACTGATAAAAAATATGCGCACACATCATACTTGCTAATCTGGGACTAAATCGTCCTGAACTGATCTTAAAACACGCGGATGACATCATTGCAAAGTATTCAATATTTTGACTTGTAAAAAAGTACATGCTCCTTTGTTTACATTTAACTTTTAAATAACGGCTTTGTGAGGGGTTATGTAAGTAGGTACGTACAATTTTTGTTTTATTTTTCTGTCGCCACGATTTGACCTCGAAGGTTTGCCAATTTTTAAAACGTCTGTTCCCGTTAAACGTTTAAATTTCCTCAGCTGCATATAAACGCTTAAAATTTCGGCAGTACGTATTTCGCTTCCATTAAATATTGTTTTTTTTTTGTTCTAGAATCAAAAATGAAATTGGCTCCAGGACCATTACCCCCTATTCCTACAGGAACTACGATGGAACGTCTTCCAATACCACTACCCTTCAGCCCAGATTTGCTATGGAGATATCCCTTAGGATTTTCATCAGTTCAGTCTCCGCAATTACCTCCTTCTCCCTTATTTGATTACAAAAGTCAGCTCCCAACAAGTTTGGCCACCGATCCTAGAGTGTGGTCTCGAGAAGACGTAATCACTTTCTTAAAATGGTCAGAAAGAGAATTCGATTTGCAACCGATTGATTTGGATATGTTCCAAATTAATGGTAAGTTGAAAATTGAATAGAAAATAATATTATAAAAAATAGTTTTAATTTCTGAGTTTAATTGACGGTATACTATTTTTGTAGGCAAAGCAATGTGTTTGCTCACAAGAACTGATTTGTCAGAAAGAGCTCCAGGTTCTGGTGATGTTTTACATAACGTTCTTCAGTTATTAGTTCGAGAAGCAAACCTGATCCAAAGGTGTCTTCCATCAAGTCCTGTGACCCCAACAACACGTCAACCCTATCCATTTTCTCCGCATGCAACTCATCCTCCTACTCCCAACTGGAACATTCTTTCCCAAAATGGAACAGATTTTTCTCATTCATCTCATGCTGCCAATCTTGCAGTCCATCTGATCGCTCAAAGCAACTCGGTTACGTTGAGCCCAGCTCCGTCAGTCGACAGTCAAGCTGGGAGTCCGCAACATGCTGAGACCGTTCATACCTCTTCATCTTTTGGTGGACGATCTGTTTTCAGTTCTAATGGAAATGGCAGTAATGGGAGTGGAAGTAATCAGTCTGATTCCGATGAAGATAGTTATGTGGAAGGGAAGAGTGGTCAAAATTGTAGTCCACCGAATACTCCCAATGCTTACTCACTGCCACCTTCTTTGCCACACACAAATGGCAGTGGCGCACCACCCAGAAGCCCTAAAGAAACTGCTTCCAGTCCAGGAGCATTTAAAATGGTCAAACGGGAATTCTTCCCCAGTGAATCTTCAGAACCAAACACCAGTAAGTACTTTTCTTTTAATTTTCGAAGATATGTTTATTTTGTCAATTATTTCGGAATTAGATTTTCACTATTCGTATTATTGTAGATGGCCGTTTATTGTGGGATTTCCTTCAGCAATTACTTAACGATCCTGCTCAAAGGTACACCAATTATATTGCCTGGAAAGATATGGTTACTGGTGTTTTCAAAATTGTGGACCCTGCTGGTCTAGCTAAGCTGTGGGGCATACAGAAGAACCACTTATCCATGAATTACGACAAAATGTCTCGAGCCTTACGATATTATTATAGAGTAAATATTTTAAGGAAAGTTCAAGGAGAAAGGCACTGTTACCAGTAAGTAATTCATCTGTGAATTTACACTATTATTTACTGGGTATCATTACTTTGACATATTGCTTTTTATTTTCAGATTTTTACGGAATCCTTCTGAACTTAAGAACATTAAAAACATATCATTATTAAGACAACAAATGTCCCCAACAAGGACAACTGCTCCATCGCAGGTGTTAAGTCAAATGCCGGTCAAACACGAACCTGTTGATAGTGAACATCACAACGAGGTAAGAACGTCACAAGAATTCGAAGACAAGCCAACGGATTTAAGTATGGACACACCCACGGATCTAAGTTATAATAGTAACAGTAGGCATGTGAATGTGGTCTGTTCCCCAGACCATCCCGCGACACAAATACGGGACCATCCTTACTATGTGAAGAAAGAGGAAGCCAAGTGATAATTGTTTGTAATGTATGTTAAGTATATTTTAGGGTTACGACTGCAGAGTGCCAATTTTGAAATGTGCAAAGAGCAAACTATTTTTTAATTGTATACTTTCCCGAATTCAACGAGTTATCGCAACTGGCGTGCCAAATTCTAGATAGAATTTGCCTGTGAAGTAGTCTGTTTGCGGGGGGGGGGGCGGCAGCTTGATTGCACTTTAAGACAGTATGAAACTTCAACCAAGTAATATATATATATACCTAAGAGGTATATATACAGTAAATTGCTCAATGTTATTGTGAATCTACAACAGGGTAAAATGTTTAGAATTAGAGCGCAATTTTGTCAAAAAGATTGACTTGAAATTTGCACTTGATATTTGTAGTATAAAACAATAATCATGAAATTATTGAACACTACTTGTCTTCATCTTTTTAAATGTGGTTATGCAAATATAGTTCACAACATTTTAAATGTCATCAACTGAAACTCATAAATGGCATTTGATAAGGGTATTGGTAAATTTTTTAGTTAATCAACATTACTTAAAAAATGCTTATAATTTTGTGGGTTCGAATTGTTTTTTTGTTGTTTTATCACTTTACAAATATCATTAGTTCTGTATAAGGCAATCAGCCCAATGTGCTTTATTCAAGGTCGCTTACGAAACATGGAAATTAGTCATTTGTGTTAGGAAAACCGCATACTGACGATTTATAGGGTCAATAAATGTAGGTTTACAAATTGGCAAATTTAAATTTCCATAGACTACTGTTTTATGCATTTGGGTAAAATTTGTATAAAATTGTTCTTGGGTAACTGGGAGAGGAACGCTTGAAATGCGATTAGAATTGTAAAAAAAATTTAAAGAATTTAACTTAGTTATTTATGAAATTCTAGAAGCCAACTATTTGAGATAAAACGATGCAATATTTTTTCTTTGAATTTTTGAAAACTAAACACTTCCAATTCTATTCAGTTTCATTTTAATATATATCAAGAATATGTTGAGGTAATTAACTGGTCATTGCTCCTTCAAATGCAATTTTACATACTTGATTTAGTAATAAATATTTTTACAAAATTAAATAACGTGGGCTACCAGGGTTTTATACACGAGTACTTTTAATCCTCATATTTCAGCATTTTACAATAATTAATATATCATTTCACCAGTTTCGTATTGTCTTAAAGATAATTATGTGATGCATTTAATAGAAAGTGACAATAACAATAATATTTATATCACGAAAGATATATGTACAAAAGAGATGGACTGGAATTATGCATAAAAACAATAGTAATGGGCTGCACTTTTTTTTAAGAGTGTGTTTAAGCCGTCAGGGATAATAGTTAAAAAAAATTGTGTACTTTACAAAGTGATAGTGCCTCAAATTTAAATTGTAAAACAGTTATCAAAAAAGAAATATATATATAATACTAAGAGGTAGGAAATTTCCAGCTCTGTTTCTGTGATCTCTTTTTAAAATATATTTAGAATTATATGTATATTATAAACAATACAACAAATTAAGCGATGTGTGTGATATTGACTGAAATATTTGAAAAAAATCGCACCATTTGACTTTTATTTTCGTTATGGGCTTTTGAAAGGGTTTAATTCATATTTTTTTGTTTAGTAAAAACAAGGGTGCAATATTTTTCAAATTTTTGAAGTTCATTAAAGAACTCGCTACCACAATCTTGTGTATAAATAGTACAAAGACTGATTTGCTTTCCAAAATAATGGAAATCTAGGAACTTTTTGACAATTTTTATTTCTGTGTATCATTTTTAACTTTGCAGTTAAATTACCTTGATTGTGGTTGCGGTGTCTTTCTTTGAATCAACAGTTGTGCGTGTGACCTGTATTTGTAAATAAAATAGAAAAAGGTGTAATTTTTCATACTGAGGAGTAGATATTAGATATTAAGGTTTTAGCAGAAGTTTTCTGCCACCAGCTTTACTTATGTACGATATGAATCGAATTTTTGTGTCAAATTGGTATAATTGTTCCATCTAGATTAATTTACATTTTTTGTTACAGCTTTATGTTAAAGCTGTATTAAATCAGATATTATTTTATTGTTAAAATAATAATTATGTTTAAAATATAATGAAAATGCTGACTCGAACTTGGTGTTTTATTATTTTTCATGGCATGGTAAAGATTGCATCTAAGTATTAAATGCAGATAAATTGACAAATATATTTAATTTATTTTAAGTACTCACATTTCTTAATTTCAGTTTTATATAGATTGTGTTTTAAACAGTGTTTAGTTTTGCAACAAGCATACATTTTTAATAATCTTTCGAACTTCTAAATTAATCGTTCGTGAACACATACGTCATTTCTTTTCTAAATAGCAACCGACCCTGCGCTATTTTTTGTTTCATGCCTCCAACCGCTTTCCCACTTAACATCGAACTTCTTAGGTATCGAGAATCGGCCACTTCTAGTTTTATATTAGCTGTAGCTCTATTTTCAATTTCGTTATCGATATTTCAATTTATTTTTATTTATTTTCTTTCTATGCACTATTTAATCATGCTAATCATTTTCCCCGTATACATATGTCCAAAAGGTATTAAAAAAGATTTCTAATCACTAAAAACTTTGTTTGCTCTCGTCATGTAAAAAGAAGTTGCACAATCAGCAGCAAATCTCCATACATAGTATTTGCTGCCTAAGATTAACTATTTTTTAAACGAAATTGTTTAAAATGCAAGATAAAACAATGAAAGGGTAGCTTCCAATAGGCATATTACCCAATTAAGAGTATCAACAATAATAGTCTAGTATCATTTTATGTATAATTCTTATTTAATTCTTACTAATATTTGTATAAAAAATATTTACACTTACTATTTAAGACTGAAAGAAAATAACATCATCAGCTGCAATAGCTGCAGTGGTTCTTGGTTTGCCATCATCACCTTTCACTTCACCATAAGTTACTCTTCCTGTTACAAAAACTCTTTGCCCTTTCTTTAAGTAATTCAGAATAGTTTCTCTCAAACCTGGCTTAAAGCAAACGACCCTATGCCACTCTGTTCTTTGAAGAAATTCGCCAGTTTCGTAACGATAATTTGAATTTGTTGCCATAGAAAATACTACAACAGGGTGGTCATCGCTACCTTTTCGTTGTGGATCTGCACCAACTCTTCCAAGTAGTTGTACATGATTTAATGCTGAAATAATGCAAACTTTAAATACATTGGAACAATGGTTGATATGCTGCTTAGTGTAGTTTCACATACTAAAAACAGCTACTCCATTCCATATTTTATTGTCAATTTTTTCCACTTTATTTTTATTTATTTAACCTGATACCAATTGCACTTGTTTATTTTGTTTAACGTTTATTGTAATTCAATGTACATATACTTATGTATAGCACTTCTTGTAATTATTGAGCTAAGCTCATTGCTCTTGAAACAAATAAATTATAATGTGAGTAGAGTAGAATCGGAATCATATGCATGTATACTGCAGTTTTTGAGGATCTACTCAATCCTTTACTATCAACTCAAATTTTTGCATGCATGAAAGTGTCTCCTCGCTCTACTACACCCTCACTTAAAATCAGCCTACCAAGAGTTACCTTTTACAATTTTATTTTTTCCTGTCCCTTTGAATTTTTAATTGTGTTTTCATGTTTTACATTTTATTAAAAATTTATTCTTTATTATACTGTAACTCCCAATTCAGTTAATAAATATTCTTTTATATTGTCTATAGCTTTATCCATTATTTTTTTATTTCTGATATGTTAGGTTTCTCTTACAAAACAGGTATTATTTACTTATTATATTAAAGAAAATGATTTGATCATTAGACTCCCCTTTAGAATAGCTTAGCAACGCAGCATTAATCATACACCAAACAGATACTGAAGAATATTATTTTAATTCGGGGAGGTAGTAAACAAGATGCAATTTCTGACAATCCATCAGCACATACTGTGAAAGCACAAATAGCAAATTGGATTTAATGCTTAACTTTATAAATATCAAAGCTAAAAACTACTCTTACATAGTAATAGATTAATTTTAAGAGGCTACGTCTTAGTGTGAACTAAACGTTATACATAATGACCAATATAACACCATTTTACAGCATTTTTAACTTTGAGAAATGTGTAAATACAATCCAATTAATAATATAGTAGAAGTAGATAATATAATACGAATGAAACATTACATTTAACTTACATTTTTCTATTCTTGAGGGTTCTTGGGAAGCAGTGGTTGATGTAGATGCATACACATTAAAACTTTTAAACAATTTCTTTTGCTTGCAACAAAAATTTAAAACCTAAAATTTAAACAGTAGTAACATTATTCTAAAAACGGTTTATATAATTTACCTTATTTGCCAACATATTATTTATATTTAATATCACTTTATAGACATATACGATTCTTGCAATGTAAAATTCTGGATACAAGAAAATTTGGTTATGTTGCGTTCATATGGTGTTCATATGGTTCATAACCGATGACTATTGGTTGTTGTCTACCTCACGATTATTATTCCCGCCACACATTCATGTTTTAAATAAAATATCAATAAAAATCTTATGTAACATGTGTGTGTGTACTACTCCACTCAGATAATGATTTTATTAAACTGCATTTAAAGACTTCATAAAATCTTTTTTTTAATTTGCGGCATTGTTCTGAATATTGGGTAATTTTTAGTACTGTTTTGATTTTCTTGTACATATGTGTATAATAAGTTGCCTATGGAAAACGTACAGACGTGTATGAATATAATACAAAGACGTCTTATTAGTGGTGGATAAATTGGGTGGTTTCGGGCCAAAAACAAAAATTTGAAAATTATTGACAGATGGGTTCCTAGTATTTATCAATTTTCATACTGATATGTATTAGATATATGCTTAAGATCATTGTTTCAAAATTACCACTAAAAATGGTCACGAAAGTGAACGAATGTTAAAAATCATTTGGAGATTGCCTCAATTCAAGAAAAAAGGGTAGCAATTTTTGAGAATTCTCTCCTTGAAACCTTGGATCCACTCCTATAATTTATAATTTTATTTAGAAATCGTAATTATCCATATAAATAAATTTACCTTTGCTTATAATTAATGTAATAAAATTTAAATATCAGTTCAAATTATTACATTAAAAGTTCTGTTACCTAAAATTGCTCTTTTTACCACTTTTTTAAAGGTCGCTCAGAAAATGTTCGAATATCCTAAACAAATATCCAATAGCCCAGTAAAAGTCCGAAAGCTATTTAATATTAATACTATGGATGTAAGAGACATTTAAGCCTCTTTTATATAAATTAGGTGAAAATATCACCATAAAAGACACTGCAAATTTCACTATTTTATTAATTTTATTTTATCAAAATAAAATTTAAAATAAAATTAAAATAGGTCCATTGAAATTAGAATTTCATTTAGTAAGGGTAGACATCAATTATATATTATGTGCATAGATACAAACACTTCTTTCTAAAAATTATTAACAGTAAGGCATAAAAAAGACAAAAAAGTACTTTTACTTTTTCTAAAACTGTAATTAACGTAAAATATGGTTTGTAATGGATAAATTATAAAAGTTTAATAACCGAAGATGTGAACACAATCTATTATAAATATCGATGTGTTTTCATAGTTACATTTGCCAGATGTTTTGATTCTTCATTGGCTGCATGTATTGCTTTTTGATTCTTTTTTGGTTATTTGCTTAAATACATTCCTAAATACATACGTTCAACACAACTATGTATTTATAAACAATTTTTATATAAGTACCTCTGGTAAGAGTAAGATTGAAAGTAATATAATTACTAAAAAAGGGATTCAGCGGATAATCCTATACGATTTGATTGGAATTAAACATAACATATGTACCTATATATATTTTGTTGTTTGCCAAGCAATACTTCAAAAGTTTCCATTTGTAAAATGTTTGTATTGCAATGAATAAAATTCATACGTTTTTCGCCACGCTATAAATTGAGTTCTTATAAAAAATGCATTTTCAACTTATTAGCTCCTCTTAAATTTTGTATGAAAATGATGATGATTTTTTAGGGTTCCTCAACTTGAAATTAGAAAATGGAACCCTTATCTGATAATGAGAATCTTCACCTACACTTCCGGCGCTGGGGTATTCCCGTTTTCGGGTTGGGTTGAACACTGCCCTGCTTGCAAATTTAACACGGTATTGTGGCTTCATTTTTCTGTAGAGAACGATGTCGATTTAGGATTTATTTCGTACGGGTTTGGTGTTCCGGAACATACATAACAAACCCCTACCTACAGGTAGACACTAATAAATCGACACAGTTTTCACGGTCTTGAACAGAAAAATGTGGCTGAATTTACCATCAACCCAACATGGAAACAGGAATACGCTTCTCGTTGACTAAGAATTTTGAAGTTTGACGCGAAAGATGGTAATTTACCCTACTTAAAAGATGATTTACTAATCATATAAAAGATATAGCTTTAAATAAAATGGAAGCGGTATTGACAAAACAGTATTGCATGGAAATAAATAAATGTAAAATAAAAATACTAGTATGCAAGGGAAGAAAAAGTAGGAGAGCGAATACAATGATAGGAGAAAGTAGAAGAAGTGGGTGATTTTAGGTATCTCGGAAGTCAGATAAGTCGAAAGGGGCAGTAGAGATATAAAACATAGGACAGCGCAGAGTCGAGTCGCCTTCAATAAAAAGAAGTCACAAATACGAGATAAAACTCATTCAGAAAATTTGTAAGATTGTGTCGTAGATATCAAGATTTTTTGATAACTGTATAACTTCTGCTACCTAATACATTTTAATAACACTGGGTCGAGAGTCTGATCAATCGTAAGATAATTTAGAGAATAAATGGATGAATGATACCACAATACGAACATCTTATTTTGTGAATAAGTGAACGTGGTATTATATTAAATTGATAAATTACTATTCTAAAGTAACTATCTACGTATTTACTAGCCTTTACGACAAAACCGAACGGTACGGCCTACAGGTTTTGACCATTGCTGAGCATTCGGGAGGAATCAGTTCCATTGCGGGTCCTTTGCCTTGATTCTGTGGTTTCCTTGGATCACTAAAACAAATACTGAGGCAGTAATATTTCTCATATAATATTTTACTCCCTTTTGTCTTCATTTCGTCCATCTTATTTATCTCATATCAACCACCACCCACCTATTTCCACGATTCCTCAAAAGAAGGTTGAAGAGGGCTTCTGCCCTACCCTTCGGCGAAGTCCAGAGGGGCTGTCCGCTCACCAGCATTAGTAGGAATGAAATACCCAAAAATTTATTTTTACAACAATGTGCAGTATAATTACGGATGCTTCTCAAAATGATGGAGAATGTATGTAGGCAAAACCAGTTGAATAGTTTCAATAAAGTACCACGGATTTACAATTTAACAAAGTAACTTGTCGCTTTGGAAGCAAAAATGATAAAAACTACAAAGTCTATCGGAATTGGTAATTATTACAATGCTTGATTCCATCTGAAGAAATTGATCTTTCAAAAACTTGAAACATCAACTGAAAATAGAGATTATTACAATTTATCTTGTAAATCTTATTGTCATTAACTTAGATCGCCATAAAAATATTGAAAATTTTGCGGGAAAAAGTTAGAGTTTTAGGGGCGAGCATTTAGCAAGTTTTTAGGTAGTGAGTGGTTTAAAAAATGAAAGGTGTATATGTACATGAGTTGACAACAACAATAACAAGAGTGCGATTAAATTGTTTAAAAGGTGTTGTGGCGATAGGGTGATTTTGCTCTAACTATTTAGCGATTCGAAATTGATACACTTTTTAAAATTGAAATAAAATACATACAATAGGGCAGGGATGTAACGGAGGTAGTTTTATCGGAACCGAAGACGGAGTCGGAGTTTTTAAATCTGCTTTATCGGAGTTAGAATCGAAGTCGGAATCGGAGTCGGAATCAGAGTCGGAGGCAGGGTCAGAAGTGGTGGCATGAGAGAGGATTTTTATTTAAGGACAAATAAAACATTATTTAGTCAAATTTTTTTCATTTCATAAAACACAAACAATGAAAAAATAATTGACGATAGAGTGCTCAGTGCACGTAGTGGAAGTCGGGTGGATTCCCAGCGCGACATGTATGAAGTTCATATTATGAACCTGTTCATAACAGTCGACACAGGCTGTCGCTATGTTATGCTTCGACCTCCGATTGAAACCTTCGATTTAAAAGTGTCGGAGCCAAAGTCGGAACCGAAGGTGTAATAATAATCGGAACCGACTTAACGGAACCGGAGTCGAAGCTCCGTAACATCCCTGCAATAGAGGAGTAAGTATAAATAGGAAGAGTTTATTAGATAAAACATTTAAAGAATGCTTTATAAAAGAATCGTACAAGAATTTTATTATCTTCTCAAACTAATGATCTTATCCGTTCTTAATCAAAATCTACAAAAATGGGCGAAGAAGTAAGCTTTTTCTCATCTGTTACATTGGAAATATAAGGACCGAACGTATGTATAAATTGTTCTTGCACGTTAATTCTTAAAATCATTATTTTTTTTATATATATTGTAATATTCATTTATAGCATAATATTGAAGAAACGCAGCTAAGAGAAATAGAAAGTGATGCTTTTTAATGGTTATTTTCCGAAGATAAATTTTGACGACACCTGCTTTGTTGGTCACTAATTGGCCATAGAATTCCTGCGGATAACGTTTTCATGGATTTAATGATTAACAATATCCAAAATGTTTTTATAACTATAAACCACAAGCAGACGTTTGTAGCGAATTGGCACACGTATCTGAGTTAAAAATAGAACTTCTTTTACTTTTAAAATTTTGAAATCGTGCTCCACTTTTAGAGAACTATCCGCACATAAATAAAATGCTATGAAATACTTACATATTATTGTATATTACCTAACTTAAAATTGCCATATGGAATTTTAAAGAATGTTTAATTAAGTTTACACTCTTGCCTATTAATAAATCTATCTATCTATCTGAAATTTAGCATAGTTACACCATTCTGGGAACAATCCTCTCGCGAATCGAACAAGCCCCATGGACTTTTGCCTTCATGTCTCCTCTTCTTGAATCAAGATCTAAGCTTGCGGCTTCGTATACGTATCATCATCATAAGGTCGTCAGTCCTAAGACTGGTTGGACACGCACCTCCACTCTTTCTTATCCTTAACTATTTGCGAACAGTAATCTAATCTAGGTCTACCTCTACCCCTCCTAACTCCTGTTTCTGCCTCTAATATGTCTCTGACTAGACCTTTATGCCTGAGAAGGTGTCCTACTAACCTATCTTGATACAGGATAGCTGATATAAATAGTGTGCGAACGAAAAGCCTGAACTTACAGTGATGTAGATAACCAATTGTAAAATAAATAACTATTATATACTCTGAACATATAGCACCTAAAACAAAAATACTTTTTTTACACATTCCACATGGATGGAGAACAATCAGTAATACGTGAACATGGAA